TATAAAGTCTTTATGAGAGGTAAAGTCTCTGAGAGATAGACACAGTTCCAGCTGAATTGAGGCTCTTAAATCTTTACATATTTTTCTCTCTTTCTTATATGGTGTTTAACTGTCTCTAAGATGGTCTCAATATTTAATTCTGACTGGACTTGAATATAGCTCCGACTGAACTTGAATACAACTATATGGCTCTGACTGGATGTGCTATTTGTAGACCTTCTGGTCTTCCTCTCTCTTCACCTTCCAGTCACGAAAATGGTGACCCTTCCAAGAACCAGAAGTGCCTTGCCTGAGGCTCCACCCCTCAGAGGATTCTTAAAGGGGCAGGGCAGTGGAGGCCTCAAATGCAAAGAGGCCGTCTAGAATGACCCCCAGAAATTGTACATAAAATATTAATGTATCTAACTAAAAAGGGCTTAACTAGGGGTAAACAGTGAGGGTCTTCATGGGGCACAGCAAATGTCATGTGTTCCAGCAGGGGCTGGGATCAAATAAGGATGCATTATTTAGCTTGTGTAGATTCAACCAGAGAATGTTGAACACATTTGCCCGGAAAGAGACTCATCAAGATTCCTGATGCAATTTTTTCCCCACTGAGACTGAAAAACAATTCTGATATTTCAATTCAGATGTCCAACTATTTATACTAGTCTTAGTAAGAGTGATATCATGGGGGTTAACATAATACATTTATCATTACATTTGTAAAATAAAAACAACCAAATTTTATAATGAGCCAAAGACCACCCATTAGCAGTTTCCTAGGAAAAGAAAACATAACATGATGAGACTCTGGACACACTTTTTCTTTCTTATTTGGCTTGATTCCATATCATAGGGAGGAATCCTTTCAGTGAAAAACAATCTCAATGTTTAGAAGGCGGGATGTTTTGCATTCAATATCCTACAGTGGAGAAAATAAATAATAATATGTATAGCATCTTCAATGTGTGTGTACATTCAAGGCTTTATCCCAAATCTTCCTTTGTGTTACTTTTAATAGTAGTGTAAAATATATAAAAATATACAGAACACAGCACACATTATTTTAAATGTTAGATGAGTGGGTAGCCACATTTGTATAAATGTGTCCCTATTTGTGCAGCTCATTCATTGAGTTTTGTTTTTAATTGAGAAAATTCCCTCAATCTGCATTATCTTAAGTGCTGTTCTGTGAAATCAGCACAGTTTGTGTTACCTAACAGTATTTTTAAAACAGTTGTTTTATTTTGCAACTATTGTATCATTGTTTTTTGTGTATTGTCTGCACACCACCTTTATGGCTTCTAATTGTGGAAGGAAGTTTAGAAATTTCCAAATGAACAAACAGTATTAAACTGAAAACTAAGTAACTGTAAAACAGTATGGAGAAGGGGCAGTCATTATATAGTGCACACAGAGAACACACAGTTTTACATGAAGTTAAATCAGAAATGGCATTCTGCTTTCTTACAGTTTAAGAATCAAAGGTTCATGCATTCTACTCTCAAAAAGTGCAGACTCACAGAATGTGTCAAAAACACATTTCACAATTTATTCAGCATCTGACTGTTTTGGGTTTTTTCTCACCTGATATTCCTGGTCATCCTAAACTCTTTCATTACAAATGCTTGGACTAAGACATTTATTTGTAATTCAATACAATAAGCCATTTTCTGACGTTCTTACTTTGCACATTTTAAGCAGAATTGGAAGAATAGAACAAAGTTTCTCAAAATCTACTGTATAAATCCAGTTTATTAAATTATATTGAGGTTGTTTTCTTCTCTCCACTGGAAAATGGACTGAAACCAACAATATGAGTTAAGCAACTTTTCTCTAATTTTCTGTTAATTTGTTCACTCTACCACAAAATTATATTGAATAAACATCCCCTCGTGCTAACTACTTTTCCCTTCCCAAACTAGAATCCTTTTGTAATTCTCTCCTGCACTGGCTGCTTACTACTCACAAGAAGTAAATAATATACCAGTATCCATGTATTTTAAAAAAATAGATTCCTCTAGCTCCTTAATCTTGGTCTACCTCACTGGAGCTTGCAAAATTTAATAGTTTCCTTGTAGCAGATGTTTTATTTTACTTTCCTTAAAAGTGGTCCTCTGAAACACAGTGAGATGCTTTGCTATTTTGATGGGGGAGCTGCTTTTTCCATTTGCCCTGAATTTGACATCACTAGGGTCCACATTAATAGAAACAGCAGCTAAAACTTCTTTGAAACTTTATTCACCACAACCAGAAAAAAATGGGCTGATGAAATTCTTTTAAACATGCTTTAATCTAGCTGGAATGCCAGAAATTGCTTCCAGATGTGCTCCATACAAAAGTCAATCATAGCTATTTATACTGACACTCTGCAGTCCAAACAATCTCAATCGAAATGCCATGTCTCCGCTACAATAAAGCTATAAATGTCAGTTTTGTTGAATCTGGAAAGGTGTTGAAGAGTTCATGCTAGTCCGCTTCTTAGGCTATTTGTTAGCCAGAATAATTAAAAAGAATGAAAAACCAAATTATTTCTAATATAGTGATTCTATACTTGTTAAGCTATTCTTAAAGCACACCTGACACCTCCAAACCTCAAGTGCACAGGTTACAAGTTGAAATTCATTTCACAAACTAGAAAAATGGATCACTTAGGCTGAGGGCCAAGAAAAACTAAAGTGCTTGGCAGGATTCCCATGCCCTCTCCTACACTGAACACACACATAGTACACCTGGGAATAAAATTAACTTTAATATAGTGAAGCAACAGATGCTGACCATATTTAGTCCCTTTACTTAAGAAATTTGGGGATCTGCTGGTAGTATTTCTCTTTCAGGGGAACTACACCATAATGGTTCTGCAATTATATAAAGAAAATTCTCTAGCTGCAAAAACAATACAGGTTCAACATCTCTAATCCAGATATGTGAAATGCTCCAAAATCCGAAATCCACCCACTTCTGCTTGAAGGCAACAGCTGCAATGCTATTGCTCATTCGTTCACAAGGCAGAAAGCAGTAAGCTGATAGGCTTCCTAGAAATTTGCTGCATTTCCCCCAAAATATTGTGTCCCTTATACCACCAATCTTTTCATATCTCTAGTCTATCTCCAGCCTTGTGTCTCATACAAAACACAGACAGTGAACAAGAAAGATACAAGGCTGGAGGGAAATGTGAAGATGTATGAAATAATGGCAGCATCGATTCATACCAAGTCGTAGCCTCACATCCCATACACAAGTGGCAAACAAATGAGAAGCAAGAATGGAGAAAGATTTGAGGATCTATGAAATGGTGGAAGCTGTAGAAACCCATGTTCTCCAGGTATTTTGGACTTCAGCTCCCAGCAGCCTCAGCTACCTTGGCCAATGATCAGGGATTCTGAAAGCTGGACTCCAAAATATCTGGAAGACCTGAGTTTGAGAAACATTGTTCTATAGGATAATAATAATAATAATAATAATAATAATAATAATAATTTTATTCTTGTATCCTGCCACCATCTCCCCAAAAGGACTCAAAGCGGCTTACACATGGCACAAGGTGCCAAAAAAAAAACCTGAAAACAAAAACAAATTTAAAATACCATTAAATAAAACATATAAGCATGAAACAACAACTAATACTCAATTTAAAACAGTCTCATAAAATCTAGTACTTATTCATTTGTTGTAATGAAATAATTACCGTATATTCCGGCATATAAGACGACTGGGCATATAAGACGACCCCCAACTTTTCCAGTTAAAATATAGAGTTAAGATGACTCCCATGCATAAGACTACACCCGCATATAAGACGACCCCTGACTTTTGAGAAGATTTTCTTGGGTTAAAAAGTAGTCTTATACGCCAGAATATACTGTAATAGGCCCACTCTTCACAATTAGTTTTAAATACTCCCATTATATTTCATTTATTATATATGTTCATTTCGCCAAATTTCAAAGCTGGATCAGACACAGCAGAACTAACTATATTGCAGGAAATTACTCATCCTTAGACATCTGCAATCCCAATAGACAATCCACACAGCCACCCCGCCTCGTTAGGATCTGGTAATCTGAGAGGGTGGGGTGGCAGTGCTATCCTCCCCTCCCCGCCACCCATTTCAGTCTAAAAGAGAGCCTCGCCACATCAAAATGACGTGATAGGAGCATTGGATAGAGGCCCGCAAATGGAGACAGGCCTCTCCAGTACATTTTTTACTAAAACGGCGGCAGTGGGGGGGCTGGCAGTGATACCGCTTGGAAGTACCCCCCTCTATAAAAATCAACAAATAAGTATTATATATTTTGTTCATTTTTCAGTTTTACAGGATTTGGAAATTACCTGGCATTTTCTGATAGCAGAGTTAATACCTCTGGCCTAACCACTTTTAAAAGAGTTAAGCCAATGTAATTAGGATGCGGTGGTTAATGCAATGGGAATAGTATATAGGTTGTAGTTATATTGAGTAAGTTCGATGATGGTAGTTGAGGTAGTTTAGAGAATTGACAGATGGTGGTTTAGAGAATTGCTGCTGTGAGAAGTGAGAAAGAAAAAACTGTAACTTTTGTATATTTTGTGTATACTGTTGCAGCAAAAGTGAAAGAAAAGCCTTCCTGCTTATTTGAGAAAGAACAAAAGTCTCTGAGTGTTTGTTGTTAGAGTAGAAGATCACTACAACAGTGTTTTTTGGATACCTGGTTCCCTAACAGGAACTAATAGTCATTTCCGCAGAAATTACTCAGTCTTTAGCTTATTTCCAAATATAAAGGCACTTGAAGTCCTGGAGCCCCAATCAAGATAAAAGGGCAATATCAATATAATTTAACTACAATTCAATCCCACCTATAAACTGATTCCACATAACAAATGTTAACGGGCTATTTATAGAACACATCCAAAAATCACTTTTTTCTGATAGTACCCTAAACTACAGTTAATCTCCAATTTAATATATTTAAAGGGGGATCAGAGTTTGGCAAATTGTTGAAAGTGTCAGCAATTACAAGAAGTTAACTCTTTTGACTTACCTCCGCTGTCATGAAAGAATCATGATCAAAATGTTAGTTTCATTGCCTTTGGTGTTCAATTTTGAAGAGATACAGCAAGAGCATACTTGAAGTGCCCTGGAAGTTATTATAGGAAGGCAAGTATTATTATCCTGAAATAAAATCTTATGAATTTTGACTGCCTAGACAACTACTTAGGTAACAAGGTGTACAATTCCACTGCCCATTCCAAATTTTTAAAAAAACCACATTCATTTTACCATTTAGTAACCATCTGCAACTTTGAGGGGAAGAAAATAGAATTGTAGTTTTATAAATAACTACATTCCAAGCCATTTTTATTGAAGTTGTTCCTCATTACAGCATGATGGTACACTAATTATGCTCTCTTAAAACTATTTGTGGCTTCAAAGAAGTGGATTTGATCCAATAATTTCAGCTCAATGAATTCCTTCCTCTTAGTATTTTATTTTTTGTAGTTATTCTATTCATTTTTTGAAGACTTACGTAAACACTGCAGTGTGTTTTTCAAATAAAGTATCATTCAATATGCAGGAGAACACTGAGCCTGAAATGAGAATACAATTTCCCTTGAGACAGCTCTGTGTTCAAGTAATTTAACTTCAAATCCAGCTCAATATTTGAACAAGGCAGGCTTTTACTCTTGCGCAGTGTTTAAAGGTGGCCTACTTTAATCAATCATAAATTCAAGTGTCTTTTATTCTGAAACAATTTCAATATTTAGAAGAGTTTTAGAATTGTAGGTCATGGTTGAACAACTGCCTAGAGGTCTTCTAAAAGGGATGTTGTTTTACTGCCAGCACACACAGGAGGTAAGACTAGGATCAGAAACAAAGACCAGTTTGTGTTTTACTTCACATTTCTCAGAAAGAGCTTTGGACAAAGGATGCTTCAGAGGGAATGAAATCAGCCTAAGGGATGCAATTCTTCTGTAGTAACTGAAACTTGCAGGTACTCCGTGGGATAGTGGGAACAACAGGACACAGAGAGCAATATCTATGTAAGCAAAGCTGGCTCTAGTTCAGCATTGGGTTTAGAGGACAATCTTATTCACAGAGGATCTAGACAGTAGATTCTGGAACTAACTAGGTGCTTCCAGAATCATATTCTTTGCTTATTTAATTTATTAAGATCAAAGCTATAGAATACAGGTTGCAAAAAAGCACCAAGCTTCTTCCTTCACCTTTCCGTTGCCTTTCTCTCATCACATTCTGGCTTCATCATCTCCATCCAGTAGGCAGGGAGCCTGTGGTTCTCCAGAATGATATTGCTAGGTTTCAACTCTCATGATTGGATAGTCAGTGTTGGGGGATGATGGGAGTTGAAAATTCACACAGATATGTGCCAGCTCTGCACTCATTCCATCCATTGATATTACCAAGATTATAACCTAACCTGATTTACTTTAAACAACACAGCAACATCCTCATCATGAAGGTTTTAGAAGACATGTGTTGACACTAAGGACCTAATTATATTAGCCAGGTGAAGCGTCCCACTTTGCCAACGAAATGAGGGGCAGCTGGGGCAAATCTGTCACCCGCACACATCTCCCTCACCATTCCCCATCACATGGGGAAGAGTTTCCCAGGCGGCACAGAAGTGTGCTGGCTCAATTGGAGCCAGTACAACAAGGGAAGCCTCCCATGTTGAGAGCACCCATCTATCCTCCAACAGGAGTGGAAGTGTTGTAGGACACTTCCAAAGGTAAATGTGATGAGGTTGTTAAGTACTGTACAATTTGACAATACAATATTTAATCGCAGAGGTTCAAATAAATTGTATGTCAAACCCTGAATAAATAACACAATGGCCCTGGTATGGATCTTTGAACTAGTTGCAAAAAAATGGTCTGCAATATATCAACAGCCTCAGTACAGTGTATTCTCCCTATATTGCACCAAGCTTCCTACTGAAATTCACAGGGGATGTACTATTACACCATAGCAGGGGTAGGGAACCTTTGGCCCTCCAGCTGTGGTGGACTTCAACTCCCACAATTCCTTGAGGCTCGGCATTGGGCCAAGGTAAGCCTTTGGGGCGAATGCCGAGCCTCAAGGAATTGTGGGAGTTGAAGTCCACCACAGCTGGAGGGCCAAAGGTTCCCTACCCCTGCACCATAGTAACACCTCCCTTCAGAACCATCTTCTGAAAAAAATAAATACTAGTATGAACACAGAAGGGATAATCAATATGCTTCTTAAATCCATAACATGAGGGGAATCACTTCCCTGCCCAAATTTAGTTGCTACCTTAATGGCAAGCATTTGGCTACGAGCAAGCGTTTGGCTAAACAGTGCAACTGAACACAGGAAGACAGTAAAATTGAACATAGGAATGACACAAGGATTATGAGAATGGATTTTGTTCTGTTATCGAGGCGTCATGAATTGATAATAATTGTTGATTTTGTTGTTGTGTATGATGTGTTTTTAACTGTTTATTGTTGTGATAACCTGCATTGTGTAAACCGCATTGAGTCGCCTAATTAGGCTGAAAAATGCGGTATAGAAATAAAGCAAATAAATAAATAAATAATAAAGCATTGTGAGAAACAAATGGATGATGTAAACATTGTTTGCTGGCACTACATCTTAGAGATGAAGAGATACAGTCCATCACATCCTAATTTCTCCTCACTGTAGTCTTCCTATAAACCCTCCATGTGTGTGTATGCGTCTGTTTAACTCAGGGTGCACCCACACTGCAGAAATAATGCAGTTTGATCCACTTCAACTGCCATGGCTGAATGCTATAGAATTATGGGAGTTGTAGTTTGGTAAGACACCAGAACTCTTTGGCAAGGAAAGGCTAAAGACCTTTTAAAATTACAGCTCCAAAGCATTTAGCCATTGCAGTTATGGTGTCAAACTGTATTTTACAGTGTAGATGCACCCTCAGTGAACAACAGTCTCCCTTTCTATATAGCAAAAGGACAGTCATCAGCCCACAGATCTTTATAGAAAAAACAATACAACTTTATCAAGTGTGGGACAGTGTAAAACTTCTGCCCTCTGTTTTAAAATCTCACTAATAAATTAATTGTATCCATATAAATATTAACTAGTTCTAAAAACAAATATGCATTTTGACTATAACAAAAATCAAGACTGCATCTCACATGTATGGTGTAGTCATGCTTTGCTCAGTTTTGAAGAGAAACAGTTGATGAATCAAGCAGAGGAAGCCAAGATGCAGTTATTAGACACATTACATCTTTAGCACATCATCTGTAAAAATGTCCTGGATAAACTAACCCTCCAGGGGAAACCTGACCTTTAAGAGGCTTCCTAATACTACATCTAAATTAATGTCAGTGACAGCCACTTCAATCTAAACTAGCAGGGCTCTTTCATTCAGTCTACAGAATATTTTCATCCATTTTACTTGTGAGTGTAAACATACACGTGTAAATGAATGTCTGTTACACGAGGCTTGCTTGGCTTGATCAGCTACAATGAAAGGTGAGAGGCAATATTAACTTAAATGCTAAGGAAAGTAACTGTACAGTTGAGAATATATTATGTACAGTTGTGAGATATATGTAGAATCCTTTCCTGAAGAAGGGAGAAATTAAACAAATACTCTGCAGTTTTTGCCAGAATATTGCAATTACTTTGCAACAATTGAAAGTGCGTATATATTTTAAATATTTCTAAACCACCCAACCTAGTTTACAAGATTTGTACGATCTGAAGAGAAATCAGAGTATAGTGTGAACCCTTGTTGGATGTTGTACACTAATGTGGATGTTTTGTTTAGATTTATGTTATTATAGAATTTTGTCTGACTATGTGTAGCTTAATTTATTGATGTCAGGTTTAATTTACTTATTTACTTAGGTCTTAATTTGATGTTAGGTTTTAATGTTGCTTTTAAATGTGAGGTTTCTCTGGGACTTTATGTTAGTATTGTATGTTTTATGTAGGCATTGAATGTTATGTTGGAATCCGCCCTGAGTCCCCTTGCAGAGATAGGGCGGAATACAAATGTAGTAGTTATTATTATTATTATTATTACAATTATTATTATTACAATATTATAAAATAAAGTGTGCATTTCTTCCAGTTGTGCATCCTGAAACTAGCATTTAAAGTGAGGACTCTCTTTTGTGCACTCCCTTAAAGCAAATGTGTCAAACTCAAGGTCTGTGGGCCGAATCTGGCTTGCTATGTCATTATATGTGACTCTCCAGATGAAGGACTATAACTCTTGTATTCCTTATCATTAGACATCATGACTAAAGCTTACGGTGTTAGGGAAATGCTGGGCCCACAACCCTTTGTTATGGAAATTCCCCAAATAGAGTATTTAAAATGCCAAACAGGATACTTGAAAGATGTGATACAGTAACATCTGAAAGGATGAACTTTGTTCTGTTTAGTCAGGAGAGTGGTGTTTCAATTTCGATACAAGGCTTGAGGATATGATGTCTGATTTTAAAATACCCTTTAAATTTTCCCCAACCTCAGAATCATCGAATAATAGAATTGGAAGAGACCACATGGGCCATCTAGTCCAACCCACTGCCATGCAGGAAAAGCATAATCAAAGCACCTCTGACAAATGGCCATACACCCTCTGCTAAAAAAAAGTTCAAGGAAGGAGCTTCCACCACACTCCCAAGGCAGAGAGTTCCACTGTTGAACAGATTATATGGTCAGAAAGTTCTTCCTGATGTTCAGGTGGAATCTCCTTTCCTGTAATTTGAACCCACTGCTCCTAGTCCTAGTTTCAAGGGCAGTAGAAAACAAGTCTGCTCCCTCTGTCTTTCACATATTATGCATGGCTATCCCGTCTCTCTTCTGCAGGCTAAACAAACCCAGTTCTTTAAGATGCTCCTCATAGGGTAAGATCTCCAGACCTTTGATCATTTTAGTCACCCTCCTCTGGACACCTTCCAGCTTGTCAATATCTCTTTTGAACTGTGGTGCCCAGAACTGAACATAGTATTCCAGGGGAGATCAAATACAAAGAGCAGAATACAAAGGAGCCATGACTTCCCTCAATCTAGACACTATATTCCTTTTAATGCAGCCTAAAAACCCATTTGCTTTTTTAAGCTGCTGCATCACACTGTTGGCTCATATTCAACT